TAGCCCTTGAGCACCATTAAGTATTCCTCTGAACTTCCAAATTTGTAAATGGAAATAAAATGTCATTTCTTTCAATATTGTTTTGTTATCATAAAAATTATTTCTTATCACACTATGAGAACTACATTAAAATTGAAGTGTATAGTTATTTATTTCTTGCCTTGTAATGTAATTAATGTTTTATGTCATCCCCAACTAGTTGCCTTAAATATTTATCAGTATATCTCATAATAACCCACTTCTGCTGCATGATAATATATCTTATAATAACCCAATTCAAGCATCTATGTTCCATAACTGTTGCTCTATACACATATTTAGGATATCTAGTACTACATTGACACTTGCTTATTTATTGGATTTCTGTTTATTTTTTGTTTATCTATTTTTTGCTGCCTCAGTTATCAGTTAACTGAACTTTTCAAACTGTGGAATAATACTACTTTCTCTAAATTCCATAGTTATTGCTTGTGACTAATTATTATGTAAGTAAACTTAAATTGGACTCTGTTCTGCCATTTTTTATTTTAATCACTCACTAGATATGTGTTGTTTAAAAGGCAAAACTATTTAAGAAGAAAAATGCCCTGATATTTTCCCTGACTTTGTCATTATATAGTTAGGGTTATGATGTAACAATACATATAAAAATCAGTTTCCTGTGTAAAAATTAAGTGTGAGAAAGGAAAGATAACTCCACAATGCCTTCTGGGTTCTTCTTGCTTATGAACACTGTTGCATGAGACCTACACTATACATTAAACATAGACAAGCAAATCAGATCAAGAGGAATATTTATTTACACTAAATCATATTAATTAATGTCAAACTATCATGAGCATTTGGAATTATTTTTTACCCATTAGTAGTAAGTAAAAACATACGCATAGGTAGAAAATGCTTGAAATAACTAAATTCATGAGAATTCAAGAAAATCATTTTGGAAATCATTGTGTTAAAATATTTTAAAAATGTATATCACTGTATCACTGTCACCACTATCATCCATTGTTTGTAGATTTACTTGAGCGGGCAACAGTTATGTCTCTATTCCTCCCAGCCCTGAGATTTTAGCAGCCTCTCTTTACTCATCTTTCCCAATGATTGGAGTCTCTTTCAGGGTCAGGGGAATGAGACCCGTTATCATTACTGTTTTTGGCATATCAAATACGCCATGGGGAGCATGCCAGACTCTACCCGTTGGCGGGATACTGTTAGTAGCTTTTTTTTCTCAAAAATGTATATATATATATAAATATATATATATATGTATATACACTTCAGCAGTAAGTGCATTGAAAAACAGATCAGTTTTATCTTTGTAAAAACCTTGCTGTATATTTTTGAAGAGATTTGTTTTTCTTTTGATTCTGAAATTCAACATATAAAGAGATTTTGAGTTTTTAAAGGTTTTTAGAAGATTGTGTAATTTTAAAGTAACAGTCATTAGTACTAGAGATTTAAAAACCCCTTTAAAGTGGCCAGCAGACTCTCTGGAAAGAAAGATGGCAGCCGCACGGGAGCCTTGTGGACAGCAGGTTTGAGCCAGGGGTGGGGGCGGCAGGGACCTCATGGGAAGGGGGGCGTTCTGGGCCGTCCTTCACGCCCGACCGAGGTCACCAGCTGCCCCCCACGAGCGGCTCTCCGGCACGGCCACAGTCCCGGAAGCACAAGGACTTAGCACAGAAAACCACCCGCATGGAGCAGAAAAGCAAATGGACTATGTGTTAAACCGCATCAGCATGCCTGCCCGGAGGGGAAAGGGTGTTGCTCCATTCGCCCAATCCTCTCTGGAAAGAAAGATGGCAGCCGCATGGGAGCCTTGTGGACAGCAGGTTTGAGCCGGGGGTGGGGACGGCAGGGACCTCATGGGAAGGGGGGCGTTCTGGGCCATCCTTCACGCCCGACCGAGGTCACCAGCTGCCCCCCACGAGCGGCTCTCCGGCACGGCCACAGTCCCGGAAGCACAAGGACTTAGCACAGAAAGCCACCCGCATGGAGCAGAAAAGCAAATGGACTATGTGTTAAACCGCATCAGCATGCCTGCCCGGAGGGGAAAGGGTGTTGCTCCATTCGCCCAATCCTCTCTGGAAAGAAAGATGGCAGCCGCATGGGAGCCTTGTGGACAGCAGGTTTGAGCCGGGGGTGGGGACGGCAGGGACCTCATGGGAAGGGGGGGCGTTCTGGGCCGTCCTTCACGCCCGACCGAGGTCGCCAGCTGTCCCCCACGAGCGGCTCTCCGGCATGGCCATGACTCCAGAGCACAGAAACCAATCTCTTAACTATCTAACTTTTAATAGAAATTCTTCCAGGGTTAATAAGTAAAATAGCAGAAATCCAAAACCGCGTGGCCGCTATTGCGGCCGCGCGACATCATTTTATTCTTAAACCCAGCTGTAGAAAGCAAATCATTTCACAACGCTGTTTCAGCATGTCTGATTGGGGGGGGGGGGGTGGTCGTAAACTCTAAACAATAATTGTGCATCTTCTATCGAAACAATGTATCTAGTCAAAGTAGATAGAATATTAACTAGAACTCATCTGCCTCACAGGAATTGGGAGGGGTGGGAGGTGGGGTTCTATTGGGGTTCGCGGTTAAAAATAAGTATTGGTAAGGGGAAATGTGTTTGATATTTACATGACTGAGACCTAAACCCGAAAGCTCTGTAACTTTTCCCACAGTGATTGAATAAAGAAATAAATTATAAAAAAAAAAAAGTGGCCAGCAGATAGAACAGTGATTCAGTTCCCAGTGCTACATGGTTCCCTGAGCATAGTGAAGTGCACCCTATAGATACTCGAATGCTTCCTTGGAGTGATTCTGATGTCCCCAGGTACCACCACGGTGTCACAGTTATCCCTGGCACTGCAGGACCCTGAGCACCAAAATGCCCCTTAAAGTCATTCAGTTTAATTTTCTTATTCAAATATTCCATTCATGCATTTTTATTTGTCCTTTTAAACTAATTACTAATTTATTTTCACTTAAAAACAAATTAGACCTATTTCCTGTTCAACTTTATGACTTTCCTGTGGTATTCAAATATTTTTGAAGCTGAATGTCAAAATATAGCATTCATACTAGTAGTGAAAGTTTTCCTAATATTTCTCTTAATATTTCTGAATTCAGAAGTACTTTGAGTTTGAAAAGTGAGTAGCGTTGAGTTGGAATATATATATATGTATATATATATATGTATAAACCTTCTAGTAGTAACAAATGAACACTTAATAATCAATGTGAAAATTGAGAGCGGTATGGTGCAATCTAGCATGTAATTTAAGCTAATACGAGAAATTTGAACTAAACAATTTATATAATGAGAGAAGCCATTAATTCAGACAGACTACAAGTATGAATTTGTGTGTTTGAGGTCTGTTTTAGAAACGCATATTCCTACTATATCTTGGCTAGTCCCTCTTTTAGACATTAAAAGTTGTGAGGCTGTTTGGGAACAGAGAGGAAGTAGGTTTTGCTTCCCAGTTTTTTCCCCAGAGAAGAAAGAAAGCTTTTTCATTCAGTTCAAGTAAGTTTGACTTGAGGGCATCAACCCATTTGAAGTCAATATGCATTTTTATAAATCGTATTGCTGTTGATTTCCTTACCTTAAATTAAAAACATTGTTGCCTTTAAGGGAAGGTCATTTCTCCAGTTCCATTTTGCAGTTACAGCTACATAGCCCAAGATAAGTGGATTTTGTAAAGTTAACCACACTCTTCAACATATTTAAACCTCCCCATCTTCAGGGAGGTTTAAATAGCTAGTTTTGACAAAGGCTGCATATGTAACTTTGGTTGACTGAATTATTCTTTGTAAATGAAGTCACTAAAAATGTGTTTTTATATGTGCTATATAACATATATCATTAAAATATGAACAGTAGTTTGTTTGGTAGAATTTATGTTGCCATGTTTTTAAAAATAATAAGGAAGTTTAATTCAGTAATGTGAGTCTTAATCATTCTCCTGAGATATATTTCTTGGAAGTTCAATAAATGATACATTCAGCTATTGTTCACAAAGAGTAGCTATTCCAAAGTGATTGGTATCTCAATTGGTTGCAGAAATCCATGTGCATTTTTGCTTACATAAAAAGCTTTTCTTGATGATAAACTGCATATATAAAATCCATTTATATTTCTCTTTATTAACTCTTGTCCTTATGGAAAAAAGGATGACATTATATTTTGAATATAATTTTAGTTAGTATCAAATGTCTTGTCAATAATACTCCCTTCATTAAATCACTAAGAACAATGTTGATAATGAAAATACAGTATGAGCTACCCCATTTGGATATTTATACTTGTTATTATTATTTAATGCTTATAATATGACTGAATATAACTTAGAACAGAATGCTTAGTTTATTAGAATTTTACAATTTTGGATAATCCCCCAGGAATCTATAGGCTATTTGTAATCAGCCTCTTTAAGTTATTCAACAAGGCCTTTCTGAGAAATATCATTGTGGTATATGGGTTATTTCAGATGAAACAATGGCAATGCTTTAAGTTTAGAAGAAATTTTAAAGCTCTCTTTTCACTTAGAAGAATAAAATTGGGGATATTATTCAGAATGAGTTTTTTTAAATCAGCAATATCATATTATTTCTATATCTTTTTAATATACATAATTTTATTACAATACTTTTAAAAAACACAAAATACAACATTCTAAAAAACCCAATATTTACTATCATACTAATTCCTACAAATTTGCTGTGTTACTATTCAGACACAAGTCAAAACATTAAAGAAACCATTAAATATTTAGAAACATTCAACATCAGCAGCTTTAAAACCTAACTAAATTCTAGCCCTCAAAAAGCTACAACCTGCATTTTTTTTTAAAAAGTACTTTTTCTACAAAGAACTTTATCAGTGATACAAAAATCTGTACAGTTTTTTATACTGAAGCTAATATTGAGCTGCCCTTGAATTCATTCTTAACAAAACAACTGCCTGAGCACACACGCACCCTCCATACGGGGTAGCCATTTATTCTTCCTCTTCCTCTTCTCCTTCCTCTTCCTGTTCTTCCTCCTCATCCTCTTCCTCATCTTCCGGCTCATTCTTCTTCTTTGAGCCTGTTGGTCTGCCGGGACCCTTCTTTCCCACTGCACTTTTGCCCGTGGCGCGGTAGGCGGCAATAGCCTTCTCGTACTTGTCCTTGAGCTTCGCGGCTTTCTGTTGGTGCGGCTGCTTCTCCTTGGCGGGCTCTTCCGACCACGTGTCCCCCAGCTTCTTGGCCGTGTCAACAGGCCCGGGTGCTCGCTCTTTAATCGGGGCGATACTCGGAGCAAAAGAGGAGGAACGCAGACGGGGGCCTTTCCGGCGCCTTGGGGTCTTTCTTCTTGCCCTTCTTGTCCACTTTGCACGGCACGTAATTCTTCATCGCCCTGTCAGAGCGGGCCTTGACCCCCTTGGCCGTGTCTTCAAACTTGGCCTTCTCCTTGGCTGACGTGGCCTTCTGTCTCTCCGAGCACTTTTTGGAGAACTCGGCGAAGTTGACCGTCCAGTCGGGGTGCTTCTTCTTGTGCTCCTCCCCGCACGTCTGCACGAAGACGGCATACGAGGACGTCTTGGCCCTCGGCTTGTTGGGGTCGCCCTTGCCATGACGACGTGACGGCGTCTCCCTGCTTGCTGGCCTTTCCTCAGAGTGCACCGCCGAGGCTGCCTCAGCCACCGCCTTGCACAGGCTCCGGCGCCAACTGGTTTCTCCAATTTCTATATCTTTGATAGATATAATGTGATATCTGTGTTGTCAGGCAAATATCACATTACAAAGCATTTGTTCACTGGCATTAAATGCATTTCTCCTCATGATGACAGAACACTTTGAAGTTTCAGGCTCCTATGTGATTTCTTAACTCAGGAAACTTTACTCCGTTAGCTTTAGAAAACATATCCATATAGATTCCTTATATGATTACTAAATTTTATTTTTTTCCTTATCATTTATTTAAAGTTTTTGGGTCATACCCAGTGAGACTTAAGGGTTACTACTGGCTCTGGACTAAGAAATTTCTCCTGGTGCTTGGGAGACCAACAAGAAGCCAGACATCAAAGTCATATTGGGCACATGCAAAGCACACATCTTATCTGCTGTACTGATTTCCCACCCTTCTCCTATTAATCTTACATTAATTCAGTTGTTCCACCAATTTGAGAGAAATCCCATATTTCTCTTTCTTTATACAATCATTTTTGAGTCAGTCCATTCTTATGCCTAAAAGGAGATATCTTAAATGAATGCTGAGTTATTATCAAGAAAAACCTACCAAAATATTAACAATGAAATACATAAACAACAAACAAGCAAACACTGTCCTCCTGCTGTTCATCGATTTGCTCAAGTGGGCCCAGTAACGTCTCCATTTTTTTTGAGACTTGTTAACTGTGTTTGGCATATTGAATACGTCACAGGTAGCTTGCCAGGCTTTGCCGCATGGATGAGATACTCTCGGTAGCTTGCTGGGCTCTCTGAGAGGTGTGAAGGAATTGACCCCAGCTCGGCCAGGCTGGCTGCGTGCAAGGCAAACGCCCGACCGCTCTGCTATAATGAAAAAATGTCACTGTCACTGTCCTCCCATTGTTCATCGATTTGCTCCAGCAGGCCCCGTAACATCTCCATTGGAGACTTTTGTTGTTACTGTGTTTGGCATATCGAATACATCACAGGTAGCTTGCCAGGCTCTGTCGTGTGGGCGAGATACTCTAGGTAGCTTGCCGGCTCTCCGAGAGGGGCGAAGGAATCGAACTCGGGTTGGCCATGTTAGCTGCGTTCAAGGCAAACGCCCTACCACTGTGCTATCGCTCCAGCCCCAATGAAAAAATGTAATAGGAAAAAATTATAGCATATAATTTTTAATATGTTTATTAAAGTGAGTGAGAATAGGCTTCTATTATATGTTTTATTGTAGATCATATTTTCTGGACATAACATAAGCATAATATCATTAAATTGTATGTTATAATAAATAGCCACATATCACCTACAACAATTGAATACATGATAAAATAAAATGCCATCTGCATCATTTTAACAAATACATTTGTTTGTTAATACATGTATCTTCTTTACTCTTTCCCATTGTACATTTCATGATATTGGATTGATAGTCATTTCAAGTAAAATAAAAACCACTTACAGAAAAGCAAAAAATATCTATTTTTGGCAGGTACTCAACTTACCAATGTCAGTGTTTGAATATGTCAGTGTCTGATGTTGATTTGAGTCTAAAAGTAAAGTAAAGTAAAGGCCCTCCCCTTGATCATCGATTTGCTCGAGCGGGCCCAGTAACATCTCCATTGGAGACTTTGTTGTTACTGTGTCTGGTATATCGAATACTCTCGGTGGCTTGCCGGGCTCTCCGAGAGGGGCAGAGGAATCGAACTCGGGTCGGCCATGTTGGCTGCGTGCAAGGCAGATGCCCTACCCGCTGTGCTATCGCTCCAGCCCAGATTTGAGTCTACTACTTTTAATTTTCTAAAGACAAACCTTAGGAACATACCACTGCTTCCCAAATGATGACCACATGACAGATCCTCAACACGTGTTCATTTATCTTTGTTTGATCGTGTTTAACTTTATGATTTTTCATTGTAAAATTCTGTGATGAGATGAAAGATGGTTTATAGAAAAAGAGAATGATAGAGAACTGAAAAAAGCAGCCATAATCCTACAGGATCTTATAGGAAGTGCTCTGAAACATCTACTGGGTCAGAAATATGACAGGACTGCTTGGCCAATATGGATATCCCATTATTACACTCTGATATGCTAGTGTATTACTCACAAATACCTAGAAATACATTTTTATTTTATCATTCTTTAATTAGTAATACATTAGTCTTTCTGTATTTACTATTTTTGGCATATCGAATACACCCTGGATAACTTGCCAGGCTCTGTGGCAGTCGGATACTCTCAGTAGCATGCCAGACTCTCAGAGAGGGATAGAGACTTTTAGGGTGTCCTCTGATCATCCTTGCAGGTGTTCCCATGGTTCAAACCATATTTGAACCCCATCAAATATGGTACAATAATAATGAAAAATGGGTATTATGGCTGCGCGGTCTGGAAAGCAGCCTGGAGCATGGAGGCAGCTGAGTAGTGGAGGTAGTGGAGGTCAGCTGATGAGGTATTTATCTGGCTCCGGAAGGGTGAGTATTCTGGTTGTGATCTCTAGGTTGTTGGAGATTGGTGGAAGCAGACAGAGGATCTTTGTTTCTGGATCCCGCTGAGTCTGAAGGCCAAAGTCACAAAGTTCCCCTTTACGTGGTTCTGTGGGGCTTCACTTATGCGTGAGACTTGGACTGAGTGGTCCAGAAAGCGACCTGGAGCATGCCGAGGGCTGGAATTGAACTTCTGTCCATTGGGGAAGATGCCCACGTGGTGGTAGCCCTGACTCTGAAAGAGCCCCCAGTACGGCAGCATTAAGAAGGATGAGCAAGGAGAGGCTGATAAAATCTCAGGGCCGAACTAGGCTGCCAAAATGAAGAAGGATTACAATGACTCTCTGTATTTTCAATACATGTATGGGGCATTGGAAGTATCCATCCAGGACCTGATGGTGCAAGTGCAGAAGATAAGTACAACATCACTGGTCTGACCAAAATGAGAACGTATATATCACATCACGCCATTTTCAACACTGGAGAAGAACTGTACCTCGGAACATGAGACAAAAGAGGTGTCGGTGGTGTTGGTGTCCTTGTCAACACGAACTTGGCCATAAACATTGATACATTCGAATGCTTAACAACCTGAATCAGATGATTACACTTGAATAGATGTGACTCACTGCTGGCAGTTTTTATCTTCATTGTCTATGCACAATATCAAATTACAATGAAGAAGAAATTGAGAAGTTCTACATGAAGTTGGAAAAGAAGCCAACACCTTCTACAAGATCATTGTGCATGATATTAATGACAAGATATGACTGAGGAGATCGGTCTAAGAACTATACACTGGGACCTGTGGTCTATAATGGAACAGAAAGGTGAGAGACTGTCTGAGCTAATCATGTCGACCAAGACCATCCATGGTAACTCACAGTTCCAGAAGGCCAAATCTAAACATTGGACATGGGAGTCTCCTGGTGGACAGTTCCACAATGAAATTGACCACATCATATTCAATCAACAGTTTTGCCTGACTGATATTGCTGTTGTCCCTACTTCATGCAAAATTCTACTTCATGGAGAAGGGAGAAAGGGCTGCAAATATCAAGAAGAGAACTTCCAAAATGAGCACCAACTGGGAGATCTTTGACACTATTGCATCAACATGGGAAGATACCATCGTTGACGAAGAATACAATCGACTGGTTCAACACTTCCATGATTGTGCGAGGAATGCCGTGAGAGAAAGCCACAAAAAGATGCCTGTCTTCAAAACCTCTTGAGCTCATTCACGAACATGGCTGTGTGTGAGCCTCAGGCAATCACAAGCTAATGTCCAAGCTTTCAAAGCATTGCAGAGAAGCAATAAAGGAAAACCTTAAAGAGAGAAGAGCAGCAGTGCTGGCCGATGAGGCAAAAGCCAGGAAAAGCTTTCACAACGCCCACCTTTCCTTTGCCAAATACAAGACCAGGATGACTGCCCTCCAACATCCTGATGGATCTATCACATCTTCCAGAAGGGCAATGGAGAAGATTATCCATGACCTCTATAGTCATGGATCTCTTCAATAGCCATGTCCACCTGCCCACATACCAAATTCTGCAGGATGAATATGTCATTACCAACATTCTCCCTTCCAAAATCTAACACTCAGTTTTGTCAGTAAAGAAGTGAAAAGAACCTGGCCCAGACAAGGTCAGATCTGAATAACGGAAGAATCAGCCATCAGTACTGATCAATACACTGGTCTTTTTCTTCACATTCTACCTGTCGGAATGCAAGGTTCCATCCCAATGGAAAACCAGCAGGACCATTCTACTGTATAAGAAGGGAGACATCCATGACATTGGCAACTATCACCCCAACTGTCTTTTGTCTGTTGTCTACAAGCTATTCACTTGAGTCATCCTGAATAGGATTGACAGAACACTAGATGAATGACAACCATGTGAGCAAGCTGGGTTCTGAAATGGATTCAGCACGATTGACCATATCCACAAGGTAACCAGGATTATTCAGGTTTCTAGGGAGTTCAAGATGCAGCTCTGTCTAACTATCATTGATTTAAAGAAGGCCTTTGATTCTATTGAGACTGAAGCAGTCATAGAAGCCCTAGTCAAACAGGGCATTCAAATTCAATACATCAGGAAACCTCTGTGAGCTGTATCACGGATTCACCACCAGGATCTCACCATTCTATAAGAAAATGATCATTGGCATAGAAAGGGGTTTGGCAGATAGCTACCATTTCACCGAAACTCTTCAGTGCCACCATCGAGGTCATGCAAGGACTGGAATATGAAGGAATGAGGGTGAAGATTCCAACTACACCAACTACACCACCTCCGCTTCGCTGATGACATCATTCTAATAACACCAAACATTAGCCAAGCAACACAAATGCTGGCCGACTTCGACTATGATTGTGGAAAGGTCGGACTGCAGGTGAATCTCAGGAAGACAATGTTCATAAGAAAAGGACTTGTTCCTGATGTTCCATTCCCTCTCAACGGAATGAACATCTCCAAATGCAGCAGTTCTGTATACCTAGGTCGAGAATTCAACATGACAAAAGACCTGGAACCTGAAATTAATTTTTTTTCTAATATGCTAAATCCCCCTTTC